CCAATATCTCAGGGGCTGCCACAAAGAAGAGGGAGTCAAGCTATTCTCGAAAGCACCTGAGGTTAGAACAGCCAAAGTTGTGATGGTTGTAAGTCAAAGGCTACCTATGTCTAGTCTTCCTGTTAAGGCTGACAGGGCAGGAGCTTCGAAGCTGCCACTGGGGGGGAAAAAACCCACTTAGATCAGTGGTGGGATTCAAAAAAATTACTACCAGCTCTGTGGGCATGGCTTAGTGGGCATGGCATGGCATGGCATGGCATGGTGGGTGTGAGAGTGGAAGGATACTGCAAAATCCCCATTCCCTCCCTATCAGCTGGGACTCGGGAGGCAGAGAATAGATGGGGACAGGGCCAGTCAGAGATGGTATTTGCCTGTTCTCCAAACTACCTAAAATTTCCGCTGCTGGTTCTCCAGAACTGGTCAGAACCTGCTGAATGCCACCTCTGGCTTAGATGCAGATTAACAGAGTTGGAAGGGATCTTGTAGGTCATCAAATCCAACTCCACGCCCAAGCAGGAGACCCTACACCATTTCTGACAGATGGCAATACAATCTTTCCTTGAAAGCCTCCAATGATGAAGCTCCTACAACTTCTGAAGGAAAACTTGATTGTTCCCATTGTCATAAAATTTCTCCTAATTTCCAAGTTGAATCTCTCCTTGTTCAGTTCCTGTAACTGTTCTTCATATGTTTTAGCCTCCAGTCCCCTAATCATCTTGGCCGCTCTTCTCTGTACTTTTTCTAGAGTCTCAACATCTTTTTTATACTGTGGTGACCAAACTTTGATGCAGTATTATAAGTGTGGTCTTACTAAGGTTTTATAGAGTGGTATTAGTACCTCCCTTGATCTTGATTGTAGCCCTCTGTTAATGCGACATAGGATTGCATTGGCTTCCTGGTTCAGTGTAAGACGAAACTTCAAAAACATGTGTCTCCAAAAATCTTGAATGGTTGGAAAGAACCTATCAGAAGGGCAGAACCTATTCAGTAGTGTGGGCCAAGTTGTAAGGTGAGCCCTGGATTAGGAAACTGGAGACAGCGTCTTCCTTGGACAGGGAAAACAAGGCCAGATACACAAAAACAGAACCAGTTGAGCAACAAACGGTTATATCAACTTGCCTTTTGCGATTGACAGAACCTTATTGGTAAACTTATTCCTCCATGAACATAAAGAAAATTAGCGTGTCCAGCATTCTTGTTTTGCTGTCTTTCCCCTTTCTTGCTAGAGGACACAAGGTTTCCATCAACAAAAAGTTGTGCAAACATTTAGGCCCTGGGTTGGTAGTGAGCCGGAGGTTGAAGACCCCTGATTTAAACAGTATTAAAATACCTATTAATATGTTGAAGTTGAAAAAGAGGAAGAATGGGGAAATGATTATGTCCCATAGCTTGGGGAAATTGCAAGAAAAGATCTTTATTTGGCAAATAGAAAATGGGGGTAAATTTAAGAAATGTGTCCTGTTGATAGTTGGACCAGAACCTTTCAGGAGACAGAATTCCTTAATCAAAAGTCCTTTTCAACAAAAACTTCGCAGTCTTAAATATAAACGATTTGGCCAATAGCTTTTTTTAAAATCAACTTTTCCATTCTGGATTATTTTGTATTATTCTGTAAAACCAGTCATAAGAAAGATGCAGGGGGATCTTCCTTATACAGACAGTCCTTGACTTATGATTATAATTGAAGCCAGAATTTCTGTTGCTAAGGAAGACAGTTGTTAAACAAACTGCATTCAGTTTTACAATCTTTTTTTTTGTTATGGTTGCTAAGCAAATTGTTAAATCAATTGTGTGCTTGTTTAAGTGAATCCAGTTTCTGTTCTGATCTCGGCTTCCCCAAACCACGAAGCAGATTCCTTGTCCTGACAAAAAATCCTTTTTATTAAGTTACTGTGAATTACTTTCATTCACATCCAGCAAACTCTTTCAAGGGAGGATTTACAGTCACAGACCTTATCTGGCTTGGAGAGCTGCCAGGCCGATATCTGCAAAACTTGGCAAGGAGTCTCAGAGAGTCAGGAACCAATTAAGCAAACTCATTGTCTCCTGAAAACTCCACTCCCCTTTCGCTCCTCTTTTTTTCCCTCTGGGAGAGGCCATTCATCATCCACCTGTGGATACTCCCAAGTCGACCCCAGTTCTTTAGCTGCTCCCTTCATCTGGCAACTCTGCGCATGCGCATACTGGGAACAGGCTCCAGCTGTTCGTCTGCCCCACTGATATCTGACTTTGAAAGCATCTAATAAGACCTTAGAGGTCTTCTAGTCCAACCCCCTAGACAAGCAGGAAAGCCTATACTGTTTCAGACAAATGGCTGTCCAATCTCTTCTTAAAAACCTCCATCTTTGATACGATCTGGGCTGCAAAATCCTGGTGACCACGGGATGGCAGCAATGAGTCAAGATTTATATGGACCTTCTAGTGCAGGTGTCCCCAAACTTGGCAACTTTAAGACCTGTGGACTTCAACTCCCAGAATTCTCCGGCCACAGGTCTTAAAGTTGCCAAGTTTAAACAACTCTGTTCTAGTGCAGTGTGTCTCCACCTCAGCAGCTTTAAGAGGTGTGGACTTCAACTCCCAGAATTCCCCAGCCAGATTTTGGGTGGCTGAATTCCATACATGAGTCAAGGCAAAGGTTCGAAATGGCTGCCTCTGGAGTTCTCCCCAAGCCTTTCCTGTCACTCAGATTGAGGAGTAGGGAATAAAGATGCCATTGGCTGAGTCTATAATGGGAGGAGCTCATATCATTGGCCCTTTGGGCATCCTGTCTCTGGATAAAAGCCTTGTTGCCAACCATGTGTTAATTCCTGAATCTTTTCTCCCTTGTTAGCCTCCTATTATTGTAGCCCTTTTTCTTTTCTTTTCACATCAACCTTTTATTTCTTTTTCAGTTTCTTGCGTGTTCCCACGTGGCTTGTTCCTTCTGAGGTAAGTCTGCCTAACTCAGCTCTGCAAAGAACCTTTCCCCCAAAACTGAACTGAGGTATGAAGGATGATGTTGGGAGTCCTATAGACATTTTTCGGAGAGTATTCTGCCTTCAGTTACTGGTGGATCTGATTTTGCACCTTTGCACATCTTCGTGTGTGTGTGCCCATTTGTGAACCTGGAGACTTTGCTCACAATCACATAGGCGTTGAGAATCTGTCTGGACTCCTACAATGCGCTCTGCATGGGGCTGCCCTCGAAGAGCATTCAATTCCTACCCTGTAGGTTTGTTTTGGAGGGACGTGGTGGCTCAGTGGCTAAGACACTGAGCTTGTCGATAAGAAAGTTTGGCAGTTCAAATCCCTGGTGCCGCGTAATGGAGTGAGCTCCCGTTACTTGTCCCAGCTTCTGCCAACTTAGCAGTTCGAAAGCATGTAAAAATGCAAGTAGAAAAAAAGGGACCACCTTTGGTGGGAAAGTAACAGCATTCAGTCCGCCTTCGGCATTTAGTCATGCCGGCCACATGACCACGGAGACGTCTTCGCACAGCGCTGACTCTTCGACTTTGAAATGGAGATGAGCAATGCCCCCTAGAGTCGGGAACAACTAGCACATATGTGCGAGGGGAACATTAACCTTTAGGTTTGTTGTGCGATCCGATTTTTAAGACTCTCTTAACTGTTGGCTGTTCTTTCAACAGGCCCATTGTGGGTTCCACCAGTTCTTCCCGCTTGCTGCATCAGACACCTTCAGCTGAGAGTACTGACAGGTATTCTCTGCTCCTGTAACACCTGATAATTACCTCTTGTATTGATTTATTTACTTCCGAGTGGCACAGTGGCCTAGAGGTCCCATCTCACAATTAGGAGGCTGTGAGTTGGATCCTAGATAGTGGCAGATATTTCTCTCTCTGGGAGCAATGAGTAATTGCTGCGAACTCCATGTAGGTGTCAGGGAGGGCATCTGGCCAGTAAATGCTGGAGTTCCATTCAGTCACTCCGACTCCACCTGATGCAGGGAATTATAGGGCTGTTAACTTTGTTTAGAAAAAGGGCCAATTTTTGCATGCAGGGAGAGGCTCTTCTAAAGAAGGTGGGGGGCCATCACCGAACAGGATGAGAATGGCAACCCTGCAGATGGCATTTCCTCAGCAGGGATGCTTAACCAACATTACAGCACACAAAAATCTATGCAAGATTATAAAAAATATGCCTAAATCACTAAAATCAAGTCTAAATAGAATTCTGAACTCAGAGAAGCAGGAATTTAAGGAAGAAGTGTAGGAAGAAGGAGGGGGGGATATTATGAAGGGGTAGAAATGATGGGAAATAAAAAGCAGACAAAAAACTTCATGGGGGTTGGCAGTGGTATAGGGAAAATTAAAAGGCGGGGGATTTTTCCCAACAAAAGGAAATAAAAAAACAGGCAAAAGATCTTACGGAGGTTGACAGTGGCATATGGAAAATTTGAAGGAGAGGGTTATGCCCCAACAAAGGAAAATATAAAAGATTTCTTTGACGGTGGCTTGAGAAAAATTGAAGAGGGTGGACGTGTCAAAACAAAGAAAAGGGAGAAGACAAGAATAGAGAAGTGGGACAAAAGCTTTACTAGGAAAAAAATCAGACGATTAGAAATTGTTATATGGGGAAAGACAAAGCTGAGATATGTGGTTTACTTCTAAATGACAATAAAATTGAGTTGCTAACTGATTGAATATGATAATGGAAAGATAATTCAATAAAGGTTAAAATATATGGAATATGGACAAATATGAAACTGTTAGGGGGAAAATGTGAAGCCTTGTGATTCACTTTTAAACATGATAATTAAACTGAGTTGCTAATTGATTGAATATGACAATGGAAGGACATTAAGCAGGGGGGGAGAGGAGGAGAGAAAGGAATGGAGAGAGGAGAAGGAGAGAGGAAGGGGAAGTAGTAGAGAATAGAAGGACGACAGAGGGAAGAAAGGAGGTAGGGAGGAGGAGGAAAGAGAGAGAAGAAAGTGATGGATAAGGTGCAAATAGGGTGTATGGAGAGCAAAAGAGCCAATAATTGTTTTTGGGAGTGGATGGTAAGACGAATTGATGCAAACATTTAATAATACAATAGGATGTTGGCTATGTAATAGTCTACATGTGGTTATATGTTATGAAAATGAAAAAATAAAAAACTTTATATATACAAAAATAATCTATGCACAAGCTTATTTAATTTTTGCTTAGCCTCTGATGAGATGGATCCCACTCCCTACTAGCACTGGTGATGTTAACAGGAAGCACAACTGAGCTCAGAGAGCACTCGGCCCTGAGATTACAGATATTTCATCTGCAAACACGAAGCCCTGACCATCCTTTTTTTTCCCCAGAGGCTTCATTCAGACAACGTCAGAGGCAGGAACGTTGAGCTCTGGGTCGTTGGGCAGGGGATCCAAAGTAGCTTTTGAGAGTTCCAAGATTGGAGGGCTTGTCGGGGAAGGTGTGCTCTGATTCAGGACTGTCTATTTTGTGGTTGTAGTTCCGTCCAGGTGCAGGAGAAGAGCAGTGCCATTGTTCAGAAGAAGCCGCAGCTTCCCAGCAGCCGAGGGGAATATGTCGTCACCAAGCTGGATGATTTGGTCAACTGGATCCGTCGAGTACGTAGGAGCCTCTGACCGGATGTTTTTTTTTTCTGTTTGAAGAAGGTTCTCACCAAAAGCATCTCTGTGTTTGAAATTCACTCAGTATCAGTTGTACCTGTTGTGGCCCGCCAACGGCCAGCAGAGTTGGCAGCAGATTCGGAGAGTGAGGAGGTTGGGGAGGAACCTGGGCCAGTCCTGGAGTC